ACTCTTTTCCTAATAGCTTCCACATCCTTATGTCCACTTTCCATCCTTTGTTGAGAAATGAATCTTTCCCTAACTTTTCCAGCATTCCATTATACAGTAAGCATTGTTTTCCTATCCATAGCCTCGTTCACTTCATCATTCCACCCGATTTTTCATACATTCTACTAGCATTAATTCCATACATTTTTTCACTCTTTTCCTAATAGCTTCCACATCCTTATGTCCACTTTCCATCCTTTGTTGAGAAATGAATCTAATAGAAGAGAATATATGTAGCTCAGGGTTGAACTATGGAGTCCTTGGTGCTCTCTGAGCTTGATTGTTTGCTTGCAGACATTTCATTACCCACCTGGGTAATGTCATCGGTTCTAGTGAGTGTGGGGTTTGCTCCCTGTTTATATACAGTAGCTTGCCTTGCCTGTTTTGGTGGGGGTGTGGTTTTCTCCTTAGTAGTTCCTTGATTAGGGTATTGTTTTCTGCTTGTTTGTCTGAAGTTAATCCCTGCTTATCTGGGTGTTGGCTGCTGGAGAGAATGTGTCATGATCTTTTTGTTTCCTTCTTAGCTTTTTGTTGTCTCTTTTGAATGCTGTGTAAATGTGATTTATCTCTATGTGTCTATTAATGGTTGATTTGTCTGAATGCCAAGCTTCTAGGAATTCCCTAGCGTTTTTGGATTTGGCTTGGTCTAGGATGCTCACAGTTTCCCAGTTGAAAGCGTTTTTGGATTTGGCTTGGTCTAGGATGCTCACAGTTTCCCAGTTGAAAGCGTTTTTGGATTTGGCTTGGTCTAGGATGCTCACAGTTTCCCAGTTGAAATTATGGTTGTCCATGTGTTGTGAGATTAAGATGCTTTCATCATGTCTTCTGACTGCTAGTTGATGTTCATGGATGCGCTTTGTAGTCTTCTGCCTGTCTGTCCTATATAGTGGTTGTTTCAGTCCTTGCATTGTATGTTGTAGATGACTGTAGAGAAATGAATCTATCTTGGGGCTCCATTCTTTCTTTTTTCCCATAGTGGAAACTTTTACAGGTCCACCTTTCTTAGAGCTTTTTCTATGGTCTTTTTTTACCCTTCCTAGTGTCTTCTGCTTATTTTCATTCCATTTTACTTATTTTTTTTCCTCCATATCTATTTTTGCCCCCCAAAAATAGATTTGTGATACTACCAAATAATAGCCTGTCCCTTATTTAAAACCATTCTTTCTGTTAGCATTCTTCACTAATTCTCTCAATCTTTCCTCATAAACACTCCAACCAATCTTGTTTTTCAATTTATTCCTTTGCCTTGTGTATGCATGTCTAGACTTATGCTTAAACCACATGGTCAAAACAGACCTTTTTCTAAGCAGATACTCACAAGTATCATTCTCATTCAATCTTGGGTTTCTGAATGGTCCTATCATGTTGTTGTACTCTCTTGTCTCATTCCCACCCATCCATATGATCTAACAAGGTGACTTTTCCCCCCAGATTGCATTCATTCAGAATGTTGTAAACCTCCCCTTGCTTCCCCAAATTCCTGGTCTTTTCATTATCATAATTCAGTGGCTGGTAGCATGCAGCTATCAGCAACTTAAGAATTCCTACTCTCATACATACAACAATCTAGATGCCACTAATTCCTGCTTTTTCACATACATTTTAGCATTTTTCATTTTATTCATTAAATTACACCTTCATTTTCATGCCTGCATTTATCAATTCCAGTCCAACAGATGAGTCCAGCTTCATTCAAATCAATCACATCCTTCTCCTTTCTCTTACTTTTCACAAGTACACGCTTTTTTTTCTTTCTTTAATTCATTTTGTTCATTAACTCATGTTCTTTATCATATGTTCTTTTCACATTTCAACTCATAATCTTCCACATGCCCTGATTGTTAACATATGGGCTCACAGATATTGAACTGCATCCACCCATCATGGCTCTGATCAACCAATGCATGCATCTATTGGTATATATTATTAAACTGGTTTTAGCTATATTTCATTTTCCCCCTCATATTATTCCTTTAATTTCTTTTTCTTATTATAACTCATTCCTTTTCTGTGCTCAGCATAACACTGCTTCCCCTGAAAGGGAACAGCGTGCTAAGTATCTGTGTTGCACTTAATCATTTGACTGAATGACTAGGTATAAGATTTCAGACTAAATATATCTGGTTCAGATTTTATTGTGCACAGTTTACTAATCACGGGTATATTAAACACATGAGATATGCAAGCTTCTGTAGTAGCTTAATTTTGGGAAGAGAAACCACAGCTATGAATCCTTTTAAGTATTTGTCCAACCAATCATTTCTGAGAAGAGAGAGCAACAGTTTCCATTTTAACCCAGTAACTCAGACTCTGGTCCTATAATGGTAACAGAATAAACTACTCAAAAAGCATTTTTTAAAGGAGAAAGGATTTTAGATAAACAAAATATGCCATCCAGCAAAAGATACTACTGACACCTTAACTGATTTGTAGATTGTAAGTACGAGGAGAATTACATGTAACCAGCAACATTACATTTCACCACAAAAAACATGTTTGCTATGGAGATGCATGTTGGAGATACATGTTAAAGATGATCTACAAGCAACCTGAATATGTCCTGCATTGCTTGGGATAGAAGATAATTCCCTCCAGATTATGCCTCTGCTGCACAGAAAATAGCATTATAATATCACCAAAATTAGATTCTCTCAAACGCTGAGATGTAAAACCTACATCTTGAAAACACTGGGTCTAGAGCCATTCCAAAAGATGCCACTAGCTTGTAATTTTTAATGTAACAGAACCATCGCTTACTTTTTTTCACATGACAGAATGGCCACCTCATATTTCAGAGCCTCTCCCCATCTAGCTCCTTCTCTCTAGAATTGACCGCCCCCCCCCGAACTACATTTGGAATTTGATTTCACGAAGTTAAAAAAGGTCCTTTTCTTTTTTTCAGAAAGAAGCTGGAAGAATCAGTCTTTACAGCTGCAGCACTCAATAACAGTTTAAATTATCGCAGAACTGGGAATACACTACATTCATTGAATTGACTGTTTAATTTACAGTCAATTACATGTGTGTGTTTATAATTTGTTGTATTTTTATTATTTGCTGATACAGGTAGTCTTCAGCTTATGACAGCAATTGGGACTGGAATTGCTGTCATTAAGTGACATGGTCGTAAAGTGCAATGTCAGATGACTGTGTTGCTTAGCAATGGTAATTCCAGCAGTCCAGGTTGCTGTCATTAAACGAGGACTGCGTGGGTCATTAAGGACCTCACATGACCGCAACTTCCGACTTCCTGCTAGCTTCCCCATTGACTTCACTTGTGGGAAGCCAGCAGGGAACATCACGATCACATGACCGCGGCTCACTGTAATGTCATCATGACGAACTGGACACTTGGCATGACCGCAGGGTACTGTGGAAAAGCAGGCTACTTAGCAAAATTGCAGGCACATATGCTGCCTTCTTTCCCTCCCATTTGAGCCTTCTCCCCAGTGTCAGCACAGCAGAGTTGTCAACAAAGCTGCAATCTTGACACAGATGTAGGGGGAGACAGGAGGAGAACGGAGGAGACACTTATTTTTGAGCTCTGCAGCCACCAGCAGAGTCCAGTACAGCAGCCAAATGAAAGTGTTTTTCCTTCAGAAGTGGACGGTCCAAAAGAGAGGAAAAAAATTATAGAAGCCAGCAAGACAAAGCAGAACGTAAAGAAGGTGCAAGAGCTCTATGTACTGGCCATTAACAGAAAAATGAGAAGAAATCTCAGAGAGACGGGACTTAAGACAGAACAGGCTTAAGAAAGAAACAGTGGTGCATACTAGTAATAGTATAGAGCCTAGTATATAAGTAATTGTAATAGAATAATAGGTAATAGTAATATAGTATATTGAACAGTAATAGTATAGAATTGTATAAACATTGTAATAGTAATAGTAATTGAAGATTAATAGTATAGAGTAATAGTAATTGTCATAGTAATAGTATAGAGATAGCAATAAAACAGACTATAGGAAGCACTCACATATCAATTTTATATGTTTGTTTTCACAAAATAAAGCATTTCCCCAATCCTTATAGGGAGATATAAAGAAACCACCTGTCCAAGGTCCAGTGCTTTTGTGTCTCTCTTGGGTCTGAGTTAATCCAATTGGGCATGGTTTTATAAAAGGACCCATAATAGGGACACTGTGACATGACTGTGGGGACGCTGTGACAGTCTGAACTACGAGGACCCATCATAAGTACCATTCATTCAGTGCCGTCATAACTTTGAACAGTCATTGAATGAATGGTCATAACCCAAGGATTATCTGTACTGCATTTAGATGTAAGCATGAACTAAAAAAAACCCCACCTAAAAGTAGCAAATTTTTGCTACTGGTCTATATTTTTACTTGAATTTCAGAGACTTTTTAAAAAAAACTTTATTAATCTTATTTTGAGGCTTATGGTATAATTTTAATTTCTTTCTCATTTCAAGATGATGGGAAATCAGGCCATTAATCAGCTAATTTTTAGAAGACTCCAGGAACTACAAGAAATAGTTTGGGAGTTGCACATGGCCCTATATGGCCTCAAATTATGTATACATTCCTGCTTTATTAATTTAAAATGTTTGCAACAGTAGACTCTAGTTTTTGAGTAATAAGATAAAACAGCAGTTTATTCCTGTCATAATTGAATGGCACATTCCTGTTTAAAGTGCTAACTCTCCCTTTTCCTTTGAGTGATGTATGCAATTCCCTATTCTTAAAAAAAGAAAAAGAAAGGGGAGGGTAGAATTCTCCCCTACAGAATAACATTTTTCTTACGCAACAGACTTCAACATCCCCACCACTCTTCATTTATTTAATAGCAATCAATGGTGTGTCATTGGCCAAAAGATATAATCAGCTATATAAGAAATCTAGTTTCTCTCAATAGTAGCATGTTTTTTTCCTAACAACTCGTGTGTGTGTGTGTGTGTGTGTGTGTGTGTCTATATATAGGTTAGTGGGTCACAGTACCTTAAAGTCTGGTAAAATTCAGGTTGATATATCAATTGATCATCATCTGCCTGGATTGTGGAAGTTTCCTTTTACGGGTGATTAAATCTGCAATGGAATACATAATAAAATCACTATTATAGTAATAAGATTTTGCTGTTTTATTTAGCAAAAGAATGCAAGTCACCCAATACTAATAAATCTCCAGCTTATTAGAACACAATTGCTTAAAGCTCAACTATCACCAAAGCTTTTGTATTTGCAAAATAAATTAAAATTATATGAAAAGTATATTTTAATAGTATTTAGGAAGAACTGAATAAAGAGACTCCAGGATCTTTTTAAAGACAAAAAATAATATTCTTGAGCCCCTGCAATTAAAAGGAAAAAAAATCCTGCCCATAGTTCTAGCAATTAAGTATTATTATTTTCTTGGAATCTATAACAGAATGTCAGCAAAGTCCCAGAGCAGCCCAACAGAGCAGCATCTGCAGGGAGCAGGCAATAGGGGGTCAGAGTGATGAAAGCAGCATCACAATGCAAGCCCTGTCCCTTGTCACATGCACTGTGATGTCACGTGCATGTCCAAAAGGGGCGGAGCTTGTGCTATAATGTTACAATGTTGCTTTCAACATTCAAAGCAGACAGATCTTGAAAAACCCACTGGCTCAACATACAAGCAATATGAAACATTTTAATTTATAGTGATAGTTTGATATCAGCTGTTAACAATTTCAGTGTTTTGGAAATGGGCATCCTGTAGAGAAAACTCAAAAACATACATTCAGAGCAATCACTCAACTATTTGATTTCTCCGTCTGATTTTTTTCTCTTTATAATTACAAAAACAGATATCCAGGCTTCTTACTTCTGCCCTAACAGTCAATGACAAGTTTGTTTATTTATTTAGGAAACCTATATGGCTATTCAGCTAAGCAAATAACTGTGGACGGCTCACCATAAAAAACAAAAATAACATAAATACAGATTCAAAAAATACAATAAATACAAAATACAAAAATACAAAAGCTGAGGCACCTCATACATAATTGTCAGTCACAAATTCACCTAAGCCAGGCTCCACTAACAACCTGGCCCTAAAGCCTATGAAAAAAAAACATTTTCTTACTGACAAGTTATTGTCAGTAGCAGATTCATCTCCATCTACAGTAATTATCTTTTAACTTCCAGTTAATATTAAAACATAGAGAGAAATGTTAATGTTATCATCCAAATCCCCACATAGGAATTCTTCAACTACCTGAATATAAATATCCAAACTGCAAAAAATGTACAGTGTAAATATTATGCAGTTACCTCATTAGAAATTTTCCTTAATTTACTAAATTTCCAAAAATTGAATGCTTTTATAATTTAATATTCAGTGATATTACTTGTATTTTAATAAATCTGTTTAAGTTCCATAACAAATTGTGTACACAGAAATTGAAGTTATAATTTGGATTTATTAACTAAATTTAGTTTAATTAGATAAAGTGTCAAGCTCATTTTTTTCAGTTCAGCAATTATTAGAGCTAATAGTGTGAAAAGGTTTAATAAAAGACATGAGAAAACCAGCTATTAAAAATAAAGGTGTACACTATTATAGGTTACTATTACACATCTCAAGAAAAGAGTGTAAAAAGCATAAGTTGAATAAAATGTAAAACACATCTGCACACAACCAACAGGAGGAGCTAATGTTTACAAAGCACATGGATTTGCAAATCTGCAAAGTCTATTGTTAAAACAAAACACAGAAGATGGGATTTTTCATTTATCTATAAACAGAATATTTCATAACAGTTCTCTAATACTTCACTACTATAAAGCACTGTATATTTATCTGTGCAATTTTAATTTACTAACCCCCCCCCCGCAAAAAAACAAAAGGAAAATATAATTTCAGCGTTAATAATTTAGGTGCCACAGCACTAACCTTAAAAAAAAGAGACTCATTCATTTACAGGTACAGTGTCACATCGCTCTTCTCAATGTAAACAAAAGACGGTGGCATGCACCCCAAGCTAAGGATGTCAGCATTTTTCAAACACCTTTCTGGCTGTTGCATTTTATAATGATGCAATTTGACCTACATTTCCAGTGGCCAAAGAGAGAGGGAGATATAGAAAAGGAGATAGAAAAGGCGGTAGTGGTGGCAGGAAGGTGAGTGTGAGAGAGACACGCACACACAGAGAGAGCGACAGACAGACAAGATGGGGGGGGGGGGGAGACTGAGATTCTTTATCCACCAATCCACTAACTGGGGTTTTAATTGATGCTACAAAGAGTACAGAGTGGGAGCAGAATTTTTCTAAAAAAAGTTTCAATGATAAAAATATTCTATTTAGAAAACACCACAAATATAAAACTACAGATAATAGAAGACACAAAATAAGGCCAGGATTTTTTATTTGGTGACAAAAGTTAATGCCATCACTAAACAAAGTAGACGAATCCTAGAATAAATGTTGAAATGTAGGATTCTTATTAACTTTTCACATATATTATCATTAATACAGTGCATAAATTGTAAACCTTATTTACTGGAAATTTTTGCTTGCATAGAAACATGCATACATATCTATACGCCATACCCTTTATAGTGACTTTTCTCACAGTACCTTCCTGAAGGAAGCACTGTGGTAAATTGAGACCAAAAATATCGTAGCTCAAGAGAGCTATTGGTTTCTTTGCAGGACAATTACCAGTCTTCGTGGAAAAGGACTGTATCGTATAGGATCTCAGCCTATTGGCTATGGGATATGATCAGGCAAACCCTATAAGTAAGCAAAGGATAATGGAAACAGAGCAAGAGACAGATGTGAGCAGTGCTCCTAACTTCTTCAGTTCAGAAAGACTTTGGTATATATTCTCCTCCCTTCCCTATCTGCAACAATTGGAAATCCCAAGCTTGTACTTTGGCTCAATGCCATGTCCTCCCCTTTGCTAGATATAGATATAAGAAACCCCCCTTAGCAGAGAGACAGTGCCCATGTGCCACCAGGCAGGCTGAAACTATAACACGTCTTCCTCTACTGCCCATTTTACAGAGATGCTCATAATGATCACGTTACTCCATTCCTGCATGAGTATCCTGGCCGCGCAAGCCATTTCTACACTTCTTGGCTACTTTCAGTTGAGAACCCTACTATTAAGTACAGTACTGCAAAATTCTGTGCAGCAGCATATAGAACACAGTGGACTCTGATAGACTCTATGTGTGGCTCAGGTAGACCACTATTTATATCCACATAGCCCATAGTTAATTCTGTGCCAACTTCAGGATGTTGATAGAGTCCTAGGCTTCACTGCCCTACGTATTTATTCAGGTCTGGAATGGCATTATATATACACGTATGCATGTATGACCATCCTGGTGTTAGACAGGTGTGTCTGTGCCCAGGCTCATAAACATTTTAAGCAGTATAATCTGAAACAGATGTTTTTGGCCCCCAAACCTTTTAGCTCTAAATTTTAACCTCTAAATGTTAATCTCTATTTTCTAATCAGATAGCTCTTAGTGTTTATTACTTATCCCTCTAGATTTAGAATTAATTTCAGCCATTTTATGGCTCAGGATTTTATGTGTTGTTTTTAGCAGTTTTGTACTTTTCTGTTCAGTGTAGTTTTACATTGTTCATTTGTAGTGCTCATGTTTCTAGTAAACTCTGTACTGGTCTCCCCTTACTGCAGTTTTGGTGTAGTCTTATTTTTGTATGTACAGTATACTGGTCTTAGACCGCAACAATAAAAGATATAAGATATATTGTAACTCTTTTTATGTAGTGTGAGAATCATATATATAATTCCATACTCAGAATTTTAACACAAGTAAAAGAAAAAACATTGTCACATACTGAACTATTAACTTCTTATAACATTTGATACATAAACCATCTATCCTATAATAGCCAAGAAATAATTGTATTTGCTAAGATGGAATTCCTTGTACGCAAAGGAATTGTACTTTCACAGAAGATGCAGATTACAAAATTACTTCAACAGAGGGTGAAACACCATATGTATAAAGGGATTTATAGAACAATTTTAGGCATGAATATATGCCTTCCCAAAATATATGCTTTCCCAAAAAGAATATTTAAGTAGTATTACAAGTCTTGAAGCGATTTACAATTGTTAAAACTTTTAAAAATCACAAATTAAATCAAAACAAAATAATATGACACAATTTAAAAAGTGAAAGAAAAAAAGGAAAACAAAACATACACTATAACCATTTAGGGAAGATCTGGGTGAAGATTTAGATCTTTAGCAGGCATGTAAAATGTGTGAATGTAGGCACTTCATGAATTTCAGGTGAGCATTCCACTGTGAATGTGCCACCAACAAGAAGGCCCTCCTATAAGTAAGCATAAGAATCTGTGGTTTCTTGAACATGTCAGAGAATCTCTCCAGATATTAACCCAGATTCTAATGACAAAAATGATCTGTTAGATATCCTGGCCTTGTGTTTCTTAGAGCTTTATGTCAAGAACAAAACCTTGAACTTGGCTCAGTAGCTAGTCGGAAGTTAGTGCAGCTACTCCAGCCACAGTGTAACAAATGCATGGGCTGGTGCTCCATTCAACAACTTAGTTACTTATTTTGAAGTTCTCTGCATTATTCTCCCAGCCTCCTTTCCAGCTTTAGACTACCTTCTATTGCCTACTGATTATGCTCAGAGCAGCCAATCTCTCAGGGTTTTTTTGTTTTTTGTACCAAGTTGTTGGTACTCATATATGACTTCACTATTAGAAGAAATTATTACAATTAGAATGTACTTCTAGATTCCTTCTCCTGTTTGATCAGTAATACTGAAATTCTCACATCTGTTGAAGCCAGAGTTGGCTCTCAGCCTATCCTGTGTAATATGGAATCTATCCCCCTGGTAACATCTACCACAACCATCTATGTAAATAGATAAGATGCCATTGAGTCAATTGTGACTCCTGGTGACTACATGCACACAACCATATAGTTTTCTTGGCAGACCTTCAGAAGTGGTTTGCTACTGTGTTCCTCTGGGATGTTTATTAACTTTCTAGTCTAGCCTACACCCCAAGGACTTCCTGATATTTTCCTACCCAAAACTAATCAAGCCTGAC